TGAAAAGGATAGGAAAACTAACAACACTTACAAGCAGCGTAAATTCATGAACGTGAGGTGACCCATACCATTTTTCTGCGTTACCTTAATGCACTTTTAATTAATAGTCTACCAGCCTTTCTCTAAAAACTATTTATCACAATGCTGGGTAACGTTTTTGTGTAAATGTTAGACTTACATTCAAATTAGACAATTCAACTAGTAGATTGAGCGTCCCCAATCTCTTTAGTGCGTTAATACTGTTTAGTGTTTCACGTTCTTTCACCTCGTTTTCGACCTATCGGCATGTAATATCTGTTCTCGTCCTTGACAAAGTCCTTTGGTCTGGCCTCTTTAGTCCGATTGTTTAACTCACATATTGCAATGAACATGACTACATTATAGCTTTGACATCTGTCATCAACCAGACAAGCCTCTCTGCATTCCAGCGTGCCTGGTGGAAACTTAAACGTCTTAAAGGTGTGGTCCTTAAGCATCATTTGATAAATTGAGTATAGGTCTCCACCAGCTCTACACTGCTGACCGACAATGTCACGGAACATTTGAGAAATCAAAAACAGCGCGGTAAAAAATGAAGCCTGTCGACCAGTCATGTGAGGCATATCAGAACTAAAAAAACAAAAACAAAAAAAATTAACTTTAATAGCTAACACAATTACTGGTAACCCAGTAGTTTACATTGTGGGCTATAAAACAAATCATTCAAATAGAACATAAAATTGTTAAGAATCCCAACTGGCCGGAGGCAAACCAGTTGGCTATTTATAAGCATGGCCGAGGATTTGAACTCGGAGCCACCGTGAAACAAATTCAGGTAGTGGTCAGGGCGGGACTCGAACCCCGGGAGGGACGGTTTGCAAGTCCGACACGCTGACCACTCGGCCACGCTGCCTCCGTTAAGTACCTGCAAAACAAGACGTTCAGCACATTTATTGAAAAATGTTTGATGAAAAGGGCGGATCGGAGTGTTAGACAAGTCAGAGGGGAGGTGAGAAAGCTGATAAAGTCCACAAAAAAAAAATAAATAAAAAATGAAAAAAATTAAAATAAGCATGCTCAAGTATACTTAGCAAAGAAAATATGTTACAAAGCAAGAGAGCTAAGGCAGACCTGCAGTTTTGACATTCTATACAAAATTTCTGACTAGAGAATGAAAAAATCATCCACTCCAATATCTTTGTGGAAAAACTTCCAAAAAGCTCCCTAAGAACGTTTTCATCTTAAACTCCGCCCATTGCCTCTCTCCTCTTGTAATTCTTTTTGAAATGAAATGCAAACACAAATATGAGGAAAGCAAAAGCGTTGAGTAGTTTTCAGTTCACCTTCCTCTTGATATTTGGCGAAACATCATTTGGTCATCTATTTTAATTTACCTGTCATATTCCGGGATGGAAAAAAACTGCGTTATTAGGAAACTTCCACAAATAAGCAACGTTCGAACTTTGGTCATGCGTAAGCCACTCTCTGTAGGATAGGAAGAATGATAACCTGCCGCTGTGGAGGCAAATGTTTTCCCCTAATTGTTCCTGACATGGTTTATTTTTTTCGCATTCTCTGAAATGGCAAGGTTTAAATCAAGATATGGATAAACTTAGAAACATACCTGGTTAATAATACCCTTAGTTTCTTTTAACTGACTCTGGTTGATCTTCTTCTGCGGTGCGAAGCACTATCGCAGGTCGCTAATAGTCGACTGAAGCTGAAATGATTTCAATTCTTGCCCGTTCAACTGACTTCCGTTCCCCAGCTCGTTATGAATTAATTATGCCTTTCAGGACAGCCATCGCTCACACACTGAATAAAGAAACCGAAAATCCCAGAAATAGTCAGCTGTCTGTCAACTTATCCCAGAAGCGAAAGGAAGTCAGTATCGGTTCGCGGAATATGACTCTGCCGGACCTGAGAGAAATATCTTTGTTTTTGTTATCGGTGTACAAACCCTCGCTATCACATTAACCACATTTTTCCTTTTATTACGACTAAAGGTTGAAAATATCATTTTTTAAGACTGATTTTTGGTTGTTTGCGGCCAACGGTGAACCCCACTAACCTCTCTCAAGTGGGCACATTTTTGTCATGTTGAGATGGTGATACTTGGAACCAAGTGCAGATTTCGCCCTTGATCGTATTCTGCATTCAGGTCATCCTCATCTCATCAGTGGCATGTTTATCGGCTTCTTGGGAGCTAAATATTATCGAAAGTAGTTTTAATTGCAACACAGAGTTTGGCGTTTTCTATCAATTGAGAGTGTTGAATTAAAGGTGTTTAGCGGGTTATTGAGTGAAAAATATTTTCGAAAGCTATTTCACCTAGTTCGGTGGCCGAATATTTTAAAAATATTGTCTAAATGAAATTCAATCATTTTTTTTTTATGATTGAACGGATGGGTTCGTGTCTGTTTTCTAATGACTGGTACTTACTGTTATTCCACATCTCAAAACAGCACGATCATGCAGCAGAAGTGTTAAAAATAAATTTCAATTATGTGAAAAGGTTGATAGTTTATCTATCGTTCTAAAACAATTTTGATCGCTCGCTTTTACCATCAAAATTGACCAACAAGGGTAATTTCATATCAAACTGACTTTCACAAGGCGGTAGAATCTCAGTTCAAATGACACCTATCCCGAACGTCTTGGCTTAGTAGTTAAGACTCGAATATCGATCAGGTTTCTTTTAAATGCTTAATTAGAGAGGAGTTCTTTTCTGAGTTTAATTCTGACGATATATCCTTCAATTGGGTTTTTCCAAGCTCGATATAAAGTAAAAATGTCTCTCTGGACAGCATGAATGACTCACATACTGAATAAAGAAAATGAAGATCCTAAGAATAAGCAAATGTATTTGAATTCATCCTACGAACACGAAAAGGACTAGAAGACACTTTAAGGACCTGAGCCAAATGTCAACCGCACTACCCACAAGACACATGATACTCTGATATGTTGACGCTTTTAAAACGACACATTGTGAGAGAAAAAAATCACCCTCTTACGACTAACTTTAAAATCTAGGGAGGTGGTAGGGGAGATGCGCAAAAAGGTGAAATGTTGAAGTTAAGAGCTGACGGTAGTCAGTGCTCCGATGGAAGTGGCAATATGCCTTTTTTTCGGCGCAAAATTGTCTTTTCACTCTTGATCGAATGGGCTGATGGTTAGCATGCTCTTATTGGCTAGAAGCGAGATCAGAGCAAGGTATTTTACTCCCGTAATGACTACGAACGATTACGGATTGTGCAATTAAGGTTTACGCTCGTGTCTGTTTAAAATTTTAAACGCAATAAGTGATGTTAACATTTTTTTCTCTTTAACCATTTTATGAATCAAATACCAAAGAGCAAACATACATCAGTGTAAGGTTCTTATTCACTAAGAATTTATGTGAATTAAATCTAAATTCTGCAATAGGCGATTTGGGAACTAGCTACCAAACATATCATAGGAGGAACTACACAATTATAACTTATTAGACGCCACTGATGTCCACTTTCATGCTTAGAAGAACGAGGCAGAACACGAAAGGATGTATTGTGGTTCAATGAGATGTGAATAAGTGGCCACACACTTCAGAAATTCAATGTGGTTTTGTTGCGAGCCATCTGTAGTCATTTTGAGATCCCTGTAAAATTGAGAGGCAAAAGGCAGATCCTCGTGGACAAACTGTCCGACGTGATTAAGGATTGTCAGTGTGTTTCACAATAGACTTATGTAAACAATGTCCTATACAGTTGCTGAAAAAGTAGAACATGGTCTACAGATACAAACTACCTTTAGTTCCGATATCAAGCTCTGACGGCGTTGTTATAGTGTAATACTCAAAGCTTATGATATATGTGACATTAAATTTTTTCGTGCTCTACTCACTTAGAATTCAGAACTAAATCAGTGAAAGATAGTACCTAGTTTGAAGACATGTCAAGCAGTGTCCGATACACGATATAGGCATCGTACTGAGCCTTGCTCTTCAAGTCAAAATCATTTTTAACGAAAAAAGGGATAAGTGTGTTCAGCTTTTCGCAATCAGTGATGTTTTTTTTTTTTTTTATAAAAACGATTGAAAATTTACCAGAAGCAACACTTATAACATCTGTTCATACCAAGCATGTGTCAAAATTTTTATCGCGTTTGTAGCCGATTTCTCCGGCTATCGACAGGTTGCTGGTCTGTGGACACAATCGACGCTGAACCAAAAGAAGCAATCTCAGGAGAAATACTGAAGTTAGCCATGAAGCCGGGCTGCAAAGTGGGTAAGTTGTATTTATGACGAAATCTGCTCCAGTAGTTCGATTTTAGTGTAGGTGAAAAAATCGCGAATGCTCGTGATTCAAGCGGTCATAACTTTTGAAAAATCGAAAACGTACAGGGTTTTTTGCATGCTTTTGCCTATAAAGGTCTAAACTTAACGGCTGTGTAGGGTAAATTTGTCAACCAGGTCCCAAATCCCAAAACTTAACGTCTAAATCAAGGTTATTTACAGCCATCGGCCGATGGCGATTTACAGGGGTCAGAATATGCTAAAATTCGCCTTTTCAGATACATTGAGAGGGAAAATTCTAACTTTCTTGGCAAACCAGAAAGGTTTTTAAGCAATCTGATTTAAATTCGGTGGCTTAACTATGCGAATCAAATATTTTACAATGTTACAAAATATGCCTATTTTTCAATTTTCGAGACGTTGCCACGGTCCCTACGGACTGGGAAATAACTATGGCCCCCAACGCAGTCAGAAAATTATTTCGAATCAAATCAAACCTAATTTACTTCTTTCCTAAGTAAAGTCATTCTGTTGACAGAGTTTCAGGAAAAATTATTTCTGACGCGAAATCGACCGTTTGGAAATAAGAGACAGCCTGATATGGCGCGTTTTCAGGGTCAAAATTCAAATTCTCGTTGCACTTCACTCTGAATTCCGAATTCACATCACTGCACGACGATTGCATTCACAAAATAACCCTGTTATAGTATTTTAATCAAAAACAAGCCACCGTCTACGCTTTTGAAATAAAAAGTACACGTTTCAATTTCACAAAAAAGTTTTCCCGTATTAAACAAAGTAAACAATTTTAAAAAATATTCCCCCCTCCGACAGCTTTTACAATTTTCTAATGAAATATGAATGCACGCAGTTTTTATCTAGAATTTAAAATGTCTTTACACATTCTGCAATCGCGTACGTCGCTATACATTAATTCCGAATTTAGTAAATGTCTTTTGAATTGAATAAACGCGTTTGAATTGAACCTTTTTGCCAGGCGTTCCTGGCGGAATTCTGGATGGCCTGGTCGCTTGTTCAGAAGCGCATCTCTTACGAATACGCATGCCGCTTCTGCAACCACAGGGGACCATACAATATGTTTGTGAAGCCGACTGTTGTTTTATAGTGAATGTGCCAGATTTACCGTTTGCCTCACCTATGGTGATATATTGCTGACTATGTATATAAATCAGTGATAAATAAACGTTGAATTACTTTACCTGTGGTGTAAAGTCGTCCCTTTGCCTCAAAAAATTTTTTTTAGCGATTTTGAATGTCTGAGTTGTCGTTAATCTAACGATGAACAAGGTAGAGACAAAATTCCTTAACAAAAGCCTTTTCAAACCTCTTGTTTGGAAGCGTTACATAGACGACATCTCGCTATGGAGCACAAACAAAGCAACAATAGAACGTTTCATTGAAAAAGCAAGCAACCATCATCCAACAATAAAATTTACGGCTGAAATTTCCGATAAGGAAACAAGATTCCTGGACACCTAAATCTACAAAGGCGAGCGATTCGAAAAGGACGCAATTCTTGAAGTGCGTACCCATTTTAAACAAACTGAGACATTTCAGTATACACACTATAGTTCCTGTCACCCACAAGGAGTTAAAAAAGGCTTCATAAAAGGGAGGCCCGTAGACTTCTCAGAACAAACTCCTCTCAAACGATATTCCAGGAGAAAATCGCAAATTTCAAAGCGCATTTGCTAAAGAGAGGCTACCCAGAGGACCTCATTAACACAACCCTCTCAGAGGTGAATTTCAAAAACTGGAAATTAGCTCTTCAACAGAAACCGAAGACGAACGAACGAATCTTGCCTTTTGTTACACAATACCAACCATCAGTGCCACACATAAAGCAAATTCTCATGAAAAACTGGCATTTAATAGATACACAACCACTACTGAACGAACTATATAAAAATCCGCCGCTCGCATCTTACAAAAGAGGGTGGTCGCTCAAAGACAAACTCGTGAGGGCTAAACTTTGAATAAGCTACTCTAAACACGCGCTGGGGAGTCGTGTAGGCCCGTCAACCCCATTTAACCCAGCGACAATTGCTGTAGCTGAAACAAAGCGTGATCAGCTACATCCTCGCTGACATCTTGGTGCAATCGTCGGGATAAATCCAAAAGAATGAGCCTTACGCTCTGTAAAAACTGCCATTGCTCCGTTGTAAAGGCTTTATTATCCGCAAGTTGTACCATCCACAACAACAACAACAACAAAAAAAATGCAAAAATACAACTATGAGCAGTTCAGAGTACGTTTTCGAGTGGTTGTTTTTAGACACGAGAGCCGCTGGTCAAAAAGCGTAGCTCTGAACAAGCGACAAGGCCATCCAGAATTCCGCCAGGAACGCCTGGCAAAAAGTATTCAATTCAAAACGCGTTTATTCAATTCAAAACGCATTTACTAAATTCAGAATTAATGTATAGCGACGTTCGCGATTGCACAATGTGTCAAGACATTTTAAATTCTAGAAAAAAATTGCGTGCATTTATATTTTATTAGAAACTTGTAAAATCTATC